CCTCCCTCCCCCCTCGCCCCGGCTCCCGGAGCCCGTCTCTAGCGCCGCCGGAGCCAGCGAGGGAGCCGGAGCGAACAGGAGGAGGAGGAGGAGGCCACGTCGCCGCCGCTCGGAGCCCGGCCGGAGCCTCCCAGGCAGGTGCCAAGGAGGGCGAGGGGGCGGGGGCTGTCCTGATATGGGGGCGGCCTGGACCGCGTTGCGCCTCCTGCCCACCCGGGCGCCCCCCACATCCCGGCTGGAAGGACAAGGGGATGGGGGCTCCTAAACTGCGCGGCAGCCATTTAGGGTAGCAGTCTCCATTTGGGGGGCCTGGGCTTCCTCCGAGGATGCTCCATTCATAAAATTCCGTACAGGACCCCCACCATTGAGGAACTGTGGAGACCACTCCCCCCGGGAAACAGATATGTGGGGAGCATAGAGCATCCAGAAATCCCGGCGTCCCGTCACTGCTAGGCCCTGCAGGGGACCCCTGCCCTTTTTCTCGGCTTCACCTGTTGTCGGGGGAGGCGGGCGGACAAAGGAAGCAGTGTCACGTGACTGCTCATTCACAAAATCCCATCCCATTGAGAAAAGGGGGCTGGGGGCGCGGGCGGCGCTGAGGCCGCCCCTTCCCCTATTAAAGGGCCGGGAAAACCCGGTAGCCTGCTAGTGGGGGAAAGGGCTACATCTCATTTCATGGATTCCTAAGTCTGGGACGCCGGGGCCCCTCAGCTAGGTGGTAGTGAGGGGCTGGACGCCGATAAGGGTTACTGGGCGGAGGGCTACATCTCCTGAGCTGGGGGGCGGGGTAAGGTGGTTTTGAAGGATGCTGGGGCGGGAGGAGGAGGGATCAACCCCCCTCCCCCCCGCCAATCTCTCCCCTTCACCTTCCTTCGGCTGGGGCCTGAGGGAGCAGGCTTGGTTTTTTGTGAATGAAATGCTCTCTGGATGTGTCTCGGTCGCCGATTTCTGGCTTCCTCTGCCTCCATCTCCCTTTCGGCCTCTCTGGCCATTTCTGGTTCTCTCCCTGACCATCTCCCGTTGCTGGGTGACTCAGTGAGCTTTGCATCCGGTCTCATTCATAAATCCGGGAAGGAGTGGGGGGAAGAGAGCCTGGGTTTCTCACCCAGCCAGTGGCCTGGGAGGCAGGGTGCAGAGGCAGTGAAGGGGGACTGGAACTGAGTCGATGGGCTCTAAGAAAATACATATGCGCAGGCACCCAGCTGTGAGGGGGAAGGATGGGTGGGGCTGTGGGTCTGAGAAGGAGAGAAGGAAGGGAGACGGGGGTTGATGGGGGTGAGCAGGAGGGGGAAGGGAAGTGGAGGCTGGGGGAGTTCGGATGGGGAGGAGGAAATGGGTATGGGAAAAAAGGTAGATAGGGAGAAGGTTGGGATGGGAGGAAAGGGATGGCATGAAGACGAAAAAAGCCAGACTGGAAGAAGGGCGTGGGGAAGAGAAGGTGGGTATTGGGGGAAAGGTGGGAATGGAAGGTAAGCTTAATATCAGTCGCGAAGGTTGCAATGGATCCAGAAGTGAGAAACGAAGAGGGGAGATGAGGGTTGGGGGAACATTGAATGGAAGAACAGGATTGGAATTCACTGACCATGTCATCCCTGTCCCCCCACCTCCAGGTACATGGTTCGGGTCCGAGCTGTGGTGATGGCCCGAGATGACTCCAGTGGGGGCTGGCTGCCTGTGGGGGGCGGGGGCCTCAGCCAGGTGAGCGTATGTCGGGTCCGAGGGGCCAGGCCCGAGGGGGGGGCCCGCCAGGGGCACTACGTCATCCACGGGGAGCGACTTCGGGACCAGAAAGTGAGCCACCGTGGGGCATGGGAGTAGGGTGGGGGCCTGGGGAAATAGAGAAATGGGCCTGGGAGTGCAGAGGTGAGGTCAGGTCATCTCCAAGCCTGGGAATCAAGCCTGGGTGTGGGATAGAGTTTGGAAGTGAATATCTGTTCTATGGATAAGAATCAGGAGTTTCAGGAACATTTGGGGTATTAAGCAGGTCCTGTCCACTGCCATCACCTGCTGGCCTCCTCACTGCTCCCCTGGCCCTGCTCCCTCCCCCACCTCAGTGTGATCCACAGGGGCTCTGCCAACCAGCAGCTCGAAACTGGGATCATATCCCTCCTCTGCTTAGAACCCTCTCATGGCTCCATCTTGTTCAGAGATTTTCACCACAAGGCCCTACACTCTTGGCTCCTGTTTGCCCTAAATATATGGAGGCATTTGGTGGGGGACCATCTGTAAATGTCAAATAGGGTTTACAATTTTACATTTGGGTTCAGCAGGCATATTCTGGGCTGTCTGGCACAATATGGAAAGACAGTGTTAAAGTTTCAGTTGGTGAGGTAGAAAGATCTGGGTGGTTTGCAAAGGCTTGGGGGAATGGTTGCATTTCAGAGCAGTGGTCAGAAGGAACAATGCATGGGGATTGGAAATGGTTGAAAGAATATAGTGATGTTGGGCAAGGATGAGATACATCTAGGGTGTTGACCAGCATGTGTGGGAAAATCTGTGGGAATTTGATAAGAATTTGGGGTAGCATTTTGGGAGATTATTTGGGCACTGAGAGGGGATTAACAGTAATATTTTTTGAGGTGTTTAATAAACTTTGGGAAGTACTATTGAGTCAGAAGGAGGATATTTGGTTATTAGAAGGGGACTAATTAATTGTTTGAGGCATTCAATAGATTTGGGATTCCTGTTGGGATATGGGGAGGGGGATAGGAAAATGTAGAGATCAAGGGGTTTGGGGGAAATATTGGAGTATCAGACATGTGCTCAATAAAATTGGGAAGTGGTATTGGTCAGGGTTTAGGGATCCACCAAAGATTGAGAAATGAGGTTTATAGGATGCTGGGATATGCAGAGAGGCCAGGGTTGGAGAAGTCCTAGGCATGGCTGGATTCAGGTGTCTGACCTGGCTCCCTCCTGCCCTCAGACCACCTTGGAGTGTACACTAAGGCCAGGCTTGGTTTACAACAAGGTGAACCCCATCTTTCATCACTGGAGTGTGGGTGACTGCAAGTTTGGGCTGACATTTCAGAGTCCTGCAGAAGCTGATGAGTTCCAGAAGAGTTTGCTAGCAGCACTGGCCGCAGTGGGTCGAGGTGAGTGGTACAGGTGGTGGGCACTGGGGGCTGAAGTGGAAAGGTGGGAGAAGCTGGGGCCCATGGAACTCAATTCTCTGTTTTTCTCCCCACCCCAGGCTCGCTCACCCCCTCCTCCTCCTCTTCCTCCTCCCCTTCCCAGGACACCGCAGAAACACCCTGCCCTCTGACGGTGAGTCTCCAGGACCAGCTCTGCTGGAAGGGTAGGGGTTTATTTCTATTCTACAAACATTCTTGAGCACCTACTGTGGATCAGGCATCATGCCACAAGCTGGGGACAGAAATCTGGGCCTAAACTATCAGGTCAATTCAGTTCCAGTTACTAGTTTCTGATCTGTCATGATAGAACATATTCACACATTCATTCAAGGTTATTCATTGAGCACCTTCAATAAGTAGTGTTTTAAGCACTGGGGATATATCAGTTAACAAAACAAAGTCCCTCTCCTCATGGAGCTTTCTCTTCTAGTGTGGAAAGGCAGGAAAAAAAATTTTTTTTTAAAGATAAACTATAAAAGATGGATAAATATTAAAAGAAAATGGATGAACAAGTTAATGACAAGTCTATCCTTTTAGTTTCTCAGGGTATAAACCTTGGAGTCATCCTTGACTCCTCTCTTTTTTTATGCCCCTCGTCTAATCTGTCAGCAAATATTGGTTTCACTTTCAAAATGATAAGACTCTGCCTCCAACCTGGTAACTGCGCAACCTCATCTCCCAACTAGACCACCCCACCAGCTTCCCATTGTCAACCCTCCCTTCTCCTAATACCTCTTCCTGTACACAGCCAGGGGGGACCCCATTGACATCTAAGTCAGATTATGGCCATCCCCCACTCAGAACGTTCCCAGGGCTCCATCTCACTCAAGGTAAAGGACAGTCCTTATAGTGGTTCATAAAATCTTACACCATCTGGCCCACTCCTTTTTTCCCCCTTCCTTACTCTGCTTCAGCCACACTGACCTCCTCACTGTTACTCCAAAAGGGCAGGCACATTCCTGTCTCAGGGCCTTTACACTGGCTGGTCCACCTGTCTGGAACACTCCCTCCTAAATTTCCACGTGGCTCATTCCCTTATATTTTACACACGTCACCTTCTCAGTAAGGCCCTCCCTAAGAAACCTGTTTAAAATTGCAATCTCCTAATGCTCCTTATCCTATTCTAATTTTTCCCCAGCTTCTAAGATATTTTCCTTTCCCAACAGACAATTTTCTTATCTTTTAGTTTACTGTCATTCTCTCATGCTAGAATGTCAACTCCTGGAGGGCAAGGATCTTTTGTTGCTTTCTTGCTGTATCTCCAAGGCTTAAAACAGGCCTGGTAGGTATACAGTAAGTGTTCAGTAAAGATGTGTTGAATAAATTTATTGAATCAATAAATGCACAAAATGTCCGATGTGATTTGGCATTTGCTGGGAACAGTGGGAGGGAGTTGCTTGAGAGCACTGAGGAACAAAACTGGTTCCCTGGGCAGACCAGGGGGACTCCCAGGGTAATGGGAGATGCAGATGAGACCACAAAGATCACATAGACAGTTCTCGATTATTGAGCGCTCACTCAGGAAAGATGCCATGCCTTCCATGCTCCATCTCACATCCTCACAACAGTCTCTGTGAGCCTGGCATGTCGTGGGTGTTCAATGAATGGCTATTGAAGATAGTAAACAGATGAGGTAGGAATGATTCCCAAGTTACAGAAAAGAAACTGAGGGTCTGAGAAGTGATGTTTCAGCTTGTAAAGGACAGAGCTTGGTCTGGGTGGGAAGGAACAAATTCTAGGTGGGTGAAACTGCCCCAATAAAGGTGTGGTGGTGAGCATGAGGCAGGAAGGCAGCTGACTGGCCAAGGGAGAGGGCGTCTTAGAAGGGAGAAAGATGATGTTCTGTAGGTTGGTGAGCTGAGCAGATAAGAAGAGGGGGTCAAATAATAATAATAACCATTTCCAGTTCTTCCTGAACTGCAGGCATGTGTTATGCCCTTTACAGTGGGGTCTAACCATAGCCTTATGAATAGACACTATTATAATCCCCGTTTTACAGAGGAGGAAACTGAGGCTCAAAGAGATGAGCTCACTTGCCAGAGTTCACACAACCTGTCAGAGGCAGAGCCGGGGTTTGAACCCAGGACTGTCTGGTCACAGAGCCCTCGCTCAAAATGGGCGGGGGTGGTCTATGTGAGGGCATCGGCCGGGCCGGGCTCTGAGGCCGCCAATCTCCCCCAGTCTCACGTGGACAGCGACTCCTCCTCCAGTCACAGCCGCCAGGAGACGCCTCCCACCACCGCCGCGGCTGCAGCGGCCCCTATGGTCACGGTGGAGTCAGCTTCTGGCTTCGGGCCGGTCACGCCCCCCCAGCGCCGACGCTCCTCTGCTCAGGTGCGCCCTCCAACCCCCAGCAGAAGTCTGGGGCTCCCCACCCGGCACGGGGGTCCTGAAGTGGGCAGGAACTGAGGCTGCAGAGTGGAGAGAAGCCACAAACACCCTAAGGGATGGCTGACCGAGTTAATGGGTGGGGTAGGGGGGAGTTTAGAGGCCTGGGTTCCTTGGAGGGTTGGGTGAGGGCTACTGTGCTCCTGGAAATTTTGGATCGTTCTGAATTCCAGAGGGGTTTCGGGGAGCACTCGGACAATGAATTCTTGTAATATATTAGGGGGTTGCTCCCGGATTTTGAGAGAGGACAGGACTGGGAGTCTGGACTACTGGATCCTTAAGGAGTGGGCTCGCTGCCTGGATTCTTCCGTCTGTCCCTAGATTTCCTCGGTCCCTGGGAGAGGAGTGGGCTAGGGGTTTGGAAGTCTGCCGGATTCAGGCCCCAGGGTCCTCGGATGCATGGTGCCTGCGGAGAGGTGTTTGGTTTCTCAGGTTTTCTGAGTCTAGGATAGATTGGGATTGTGGTGGGAGGTGGGGATGTTGGAGATCACAAACCCCGCTAATGGGTTCTCCTGTGCCTTCATCCCACAGAGCTACCCTCCGCTCCTGCCGCTCACGGGATTTCCGGAGCCCTCGGAGCCCCCGGCCGGGGCGGGGGGCCCGGGCTGGGGCAGCCGCGGCTATGAGGATTACCGGCGCACGGGGCTGCCCGCGCCCCTCACCCTGTCCACTTGCGTTGTCCGCTTTGCCAAGACTGGCGCGTTGAGGGGT